AAAATTCTCTACAAACACAGATCTTGTTTCCCCACCCTCTTCTAACTTTCTTTGTCATCATTTCATTATTTTTAAATATAGTGTGCTTGTATTATAGCTATCTTATGATCAGGCAGAATTTTTTTAAAAAGTAGTAGGTTAAGTGCAAGTCAGCCAATATTGATAACTTGTTTCCCCACCCTCTTCTAACTTTCTTTGTCATCATTTCATTATTTTTAAATATAGTGTACTTGTATTATAGCTATCTTATGATCAGGCAGAATTTTTTTAAAAAGTAGTAGGTTAAGTGCAAGTCAGCCAATATTGATAATTTTTAAAAGCTCAGATAAAGTATTTAATGCTGGAGAAGAAATTGTGAATTGGCTGGCTCATCATGGATAAACCAGAAAACCATCACCTACCAGTAACCACCAAATCTTGTTTCAGTTAAAAGTTTTAACCATCTCCTCTTCTAAACCTATAAGCAGAAGATGAACTACAAATACTAAATTATTTATCAATTCCACTGAACTCTGCTTTTTATGAGACTTCTCTCCATCAGCCCAGCATTCCTTACTGGATACATGACCTCACGTTATAGCTGTCATACGGTTTAGGTACTTTACTCTCCTGGGACATCCAGATTACCCTTTCAGATTACTGCCTGTTGAATTTGAATTATAGTTATTTTTGCACTTAAGAAGTTACCAAGCTTGCTTATTTGATCTGCTAGTTGACAAGGAGATACATATTACTAGAAGGCAACACACAAGAATGTGCAACTTCCAAATAGGGAGAACGCAGCAGAGAAAGTAGAATCACTCACTATAAAGTGTACAGCTATTTAGTGCCAGGGCAGGCAATTCCAAAGTCTGGAATCCTCCCTGAGTTTATATTACAGTAGTCCCCCCCTTATCCATGGTTCTACTTTCCACAATTTCAGTTACCTGCAGTCAACTGTGGTTGGAATATATTACAGTATTTTGAGAAAGAGAGACCACATTCACATAACATTTACTACAGCCTATTGTTGTAATTGTTTTATTTTATTATTAGTTATTATTAGTTATTGTTAATCTTTTACTGTGCTTAATTTATGAATTAAACTTTATCATATGTATGCATAGAAAAAACATAGTATACATATACTACATATGTATGTATGTATATGTATAGGTGTGTATGTATAGGAAAAAACATAGTGTATATAGGGTTTGATACTATCCATGGTTTAGGCATTTACTGGGGATCCTGGAATGTATGCCCTGTGGATATTGCAAAAAATGGATGCTCAAAAAGGTTATAAAGTGGATAATATATATTTAGATCTATTTTAAGCAAAGGTTATGTCTCTAAATATGGAACCTTTAGTCTCTAGAATATTCACTTACGTGAACTATCTCATTTCCTTATGCCAAATAGATTAGACTTACCACTCTCTCCTCTTAACATTTCCGCACAGTGCAGGTTGTCCCCCACTTAAAATGTCCAATTTGATATTCTTTTACAAGTCAGGGAGACAGAAAAATTAGCCTTGTTTTAGGTAATATTGCAAGTTATCTTATTCCTCCTGACTCAGAAATTTCCAGGAAAATGATTTTGGTTATGAGAACTAAATTACTCATCTAGCCCTGGAGCTACTGAAAGATCAGGGCCTAGGGGGCAGGTCTGCAGACTCCGGCTGCTGTTTTCTCCACTGGATCATGTGCTTTCTCATCAGTCCGCCTTGGGCTGCCGTGTTTCTGATTCACTCACCTGCTTGGGAGATGAGGCAGCTGATATTTACAATTTTCAAATATCAGCTATTTTCTTTATAGCACCTATTCTCTTTACCGCAAGTTTTGTTAGAGCGAGACACGATCACCCAGCTTCCCTTCCAAATGCTCGGCCACACTCCTGACTCTTGTTTTCCTGTTCAGAGACTAAGAAGTGTCTGTGCCCACCAAGCAAATACAGTTTCTGTGGCCACAGTTTCTAATGTGAAAATTCATGGAAAATGTTCTTGATTAGGAAGAGAGGTTATCACCGTTGTATCTGCTTCTGTTAAGTCCCATGACGTCCTTTCCGGGAAGTCCAGTGTGGAAGAGAAGATTTTTGTAGTGTTCTTTTCAGTTCTGAGAATGTTCCCCAGGCCTTTCATCTCCCTCTTTCCTCAGTGTCTGGGGCTACCTGAATTTGCATCTGCTTTTTTGTACTCCGTATGGCCACCTGAACATCTCTGCCTCTTGTTAGCCATTTTCTCTCCACTTTGTAACCAAGCATGCCCTGTAAATTTACTCACCCATCCCTCACTTAAGTTATTTCCTCGAACCTTTCCTTTTCTTTCCTCTTCCACAAACTGCTTCAAATGATCCTTTCCAAATATGCTATTTAACACCATCCCAGAACAAACTGCCCCCTTCTCTCACCAAATAAATGGCTTTCAATAAGCCTCTCCCAACCCCCTAAACAAATAACATCCTAGAATCTTCCTCATTCTAAAATATTGCTTTTCATAACCTCTAACTATTTGCTCCCTTTCTCTCCTCAAAGAAATAAATTGCTTTGTGTCCCTTCTTATTCAGGCACTGAGCTACCTCATTGAAACCATAAAACACACACACACAATCAACAACCTCCCAAAGAAAAATGACCTAATACAACCTTTTGCCTTCCCTTTCTCTGAAACAGAAAACTTTCCTGAGGTATACAAGGACCCGTTTGTGTCTCTTTGAGCATTTTTTTCCCCCAATGAAACCAGCTAAGGAGAAATACAGTAAGGCATTCCAAGGCCAAACACATTCTACTGTTTATTACACATATTACATTCTTAAATAAAAATGCGTCACATAACATTTTTTGCATAGATATCTTACAATATACCAATTTAAAAAAGAATTATGAAACAGACCAGTAACAAAAATAAATTTTTTCTTCATTAATAATTTTGTAACATTAACATACCACCATCATATAATACAAATAATAGTTTTAAATCTTAAGACTTTTGTACAGCAAAAAAACTTGACAAAGTAATATATTTATATATATATATAAAAAGCTTAAAAAAAATAAAATGTCAAAAAAAGGCATAACCGAGGGCTATAAGACTGGGTACTTCCGTGATATATTATAAATACCAGAGAAGGCCTGAGAGAATGTGACCGGGGAGGTGGGGGGGAAGGGAGGGGGCTGGGAGTAGGTCTCTCCAAACACACTTGTTAGACACATCTGGCAAAAAGAAAATGTATAGTGCAAAAATAAATTTCTTCAAGCAACTGTTAAGAGGATAATCGAGATTTGAAAGAAGAGTGGTGGCGGCTGGAAGTTGTGCAATGGGAGTAGAAGGGGGAAAAGGAAGGGGAGGCTTCAAAAACATTAACATTTAGTTTTGCCTCTGTGTTAGCAAGGAGATCTTGGCCATAACAGGTGTATTTTTCCTCCCTGGAATGAAGCAGATGTGAAAGATAAGGAAATTAAACTGAGTCTGGGTTTAGATTGGACATGCATGCTAAGAAGAAACAATGAAAAGGTTGAGAACCAGCCCATGAGCCCCAAAGCCTTCAGGACCTAGAACTGCAGAAATCCTTCTGCCTCCAGTCCAAAGGCCTAGGATTAAAATGTCCCCTCTCCCTACCCACTGCCCCTCCCCTCTATGTGGAACTCCCAGTGTGGTTTCAATATACTGGCAATTATAAGCATCCATCCCCCCCAAAAGATATTAGGCACTGGTGGCTACTCCTCTTAAACGTCAGTAGCCTGTTTTCCTTCTGTGAAGGTACAATAGGTACATATGCACACACGCCTAGGTGTGTGTGTACATACCACCCTCATTATTCTGATGTGGGGTCCATTTTATGGCAGTAGACAGAAGCTGGAGTCAAAGAAATTTACGGTTCCAAAGCTCACAGTTGAAAAAAAATTGTATAAACAGTCCCCAACAAAGAAAGTATCAACCTCCCCTCATGACCACTGAGAAGGAGCCCTGTTTGAAAAGAGTCTCTTGTTTGGGATATTTGCAAAGTGACGGCCTAGGATTTCTCTCTCCACTTTTGATACCTGTTTCCCAAGGACTTATATGTAATGCAAAACACCTGAAGAATACAGTACTGTATCAGAAGGGTGCACATAAGAAAGTTAACTGCAGCTTTATTTTTCCCTTTTCTGGGATCTACTAGGAACCAACAGAGAGGAGATTTAAGAGAGTGTTAAAAGCAAGAGAAAACCCTGAAGCCTCAGGCAGTTAGTCATGGGATGTCTCATTATTTTCAGGCAGTTTTGGCTTTGACACATTTCTGTTGTTCCATCTCAAGTATTCCCAAAGATCCTCACTGAGGAAAGTAGGCCATCAAAGAGGCAATGATGTATACTCAGGCCAGGCCCTCTAGTTTTCAAATGGAGATATCACCATGTTTACCGAAATTTAATCCAGATACCCAGAATCTGAGTCCTCTTCTCCTGCCCCCACTCCTGCGCCTGACAGACGGCCATTTCTGGAAAATGCAAGGGAAAGCTTCCTTGAGGAAATTTCAACCCAGTTCTACTAACTGAATTTTCACTTTGGCAATGCCCTGGGTGCAAAAGTTGCAGCCAGAAATGCTGGCCCTCCTAAGATTTTTAAAAAAAGAAAGAAAGACACAACGAAATGTGCTGCATCTGACTTTCCCAACCATCTTCTTTCTCCTAAAAACAGCTCGTGCAACAGAAAAGACAAAAGCACTTCCTGCTGTATTTTACACTTTATGAAGTGACTTCCATAGATGAAATCATTTTGAACCATCAAAACTAATCACCGGGTTTTATTGTTCTTTTGATTTGAGTTTATTTCTTTTGGTTCTGCCATAGAAAGCAGGAGTGAGGGCTGTAGGCAGAGTGTTGTGAACACACTGGATGAACCCCACCCCCCAACAGCATCCCATTTCTTTCCCCTTTGAGACAAAAAAACATGAGACTCTGGAAGCTTATCCCAAACTAAAGTCCTTAAAAAATCTTCTCTAGCTGCGAAGATTTTTTAAAACTAGTAATCAGTTCTGCTAATCGTGCATGAGGTTGGCTGTCTTTTTACCCTGTTATAATTAGCAATCAGATGGCAAAGGGCACAAGAGGTGGAGATGGGGCGGAGATGGCATCAAGAGAAGGGGACATTGAAGGGCTTTGCAAGGGGAAAGCACAAGAAAGAAATGGTCAGCGTGAATTTCATTTTGGAGTCTCCAATATTTTTACAGAATGTAGCTTTGTCATGGAATCCGAACATGTCTTTCTTTCTTTTCTGGACATAATACTCATCACCACCAGGCATTAAGCAGGGCCAATTAACCATTAGTGGGGCAGGAGGCCAGTAGCTAGGAGCAGCATTATAATTTCAGGTTTCCACGTCTCTGACTTCCAGCCATGTGGTAGGAGAAAGAAGCATAACTCGAAATAAAGACAATTGTATGTGGCTTAGAAACACTTTTTCTACACATCAAACTCCGAACCTTGGATACAGCGTGCTTGAGGGGACAGCCACAAGAAACATCATGCCAAGTTTTTCCTTTCAAATTTGGGGTCCCCTGGAATGTTAGGAGATAACAATTCAAATGAGAAAAAGGCTTAATGTGTTTCAAATGTCCACTAAAGCACTGTTTAAATAACGAGTCCTCTTGGAGCAGAATATCTTCAGGTTATGCCTCGGAAGATCAATTAACTCTAGAGGCTCTTAGCCACCATCTCTGCCATTTCAGAGATGAGGGACATTTTATCACAAATCCCTTTCCAAAATGATTGGGGCTACCCCCACCTGCATGGTTAGAACTGGTTATCATTAACAGGTGTCAATCTGGGCTAGAGGAGAACAGTTTCAAAGCCATATGCTTGGCACCCACCAAATTCTCAGGCCGATTCTCATAGTCAACAAAGGACTTGAAGCAAGCAAGTGCCACCATCGCGTTTCTGTGCACCCCACTCTGAGAAAGGTCAGGAGCAGATTACAAAGGACCTCACTGATACGAGAGAGAAATTACTGAACAGTTCAGACACTGGTGAGGACCATAGGGCCTTTGTTCTGCCACATTCAAAGGAGACCACAGATGAAAACAGGGAGCAAACAAGCAATGATTACTCTTTTGTATTCTTTTTTTTTTTTTTTAAATTTTCTTTTTAATAGAGCCTTGCATTGGTCAGTTCGAAAATTAAATTAAGTATTATAAACCCTTAATAATAGCATTTCGAGAGGCAAGAGCAGCTCCAGCTGGGGAGAGAACATTGGTAAATCGTGGCAGCCATGGCTTAATGCCATCGCTGGCATGTGCGTGCGTTCATGCTGGAGGCTGCTAGAGAAAGGAAAATAAACAAACCAACAAAATTTGGGGTGTCTAAAGTTTCATCTAGTGCACTGACTGGAGGCGCTACAGTTTAATACAGCTGAGGTTCAAGGTCCCTCACACACCCTTCATCCAGAAAGGATGCACCACACATTCAAATATAATCCCATGGTGCGCCCCAATGGACTGGCCACAAAATGCACTCAAATGCAGTAGAGAACTACAAGATTGTCAGCTAGCAGTGCTCCAGAAATTGTTTCTAAGTCATGTAAGTCATGTCTAGTTTTAAATCTTTGGAATAAAACTGATTTTTTAAAAACCCTCCAACTAACATATACATAATTGCCTCTGGCAAATGGACAGATTTTGTGTATGTGTGTGCGTGCGTGTGTGTGTGTGTTTAGGGTGTTTCTTCTTTTTTGCTGTGGTTTTTTTGTTTTCCTTTTTGTTTTTCTGTTTTTGTTTTTGGTCTAAATTGAAAAAAGAGAAAGAAAATTCTAAGGGCCAGACCTCGAAATGCCCCAAGTGTCCAATTGGCAGCTACAGCATTTGTGATAATGTTTCTTTGCCCTCAGACGTCTAAATTGAAAAAAGAGAAAGAAAATTCTAAGGGCCAGACCTCGAAATGCCCCAAGTGTCCCATTGGCAGCTACAGCATTTGTGATAATGTTTCTTTGCCCTCAGACGAGTAGTTTCAACATTTCAGTGAAAACAAAGTTTGCAGAAAGCGGAAACCCAAATGCCAAGGATCTTGAAGGTTGCTGTCATATATGTGTTTGTGTTCCTCATATTATTATTTCCTTTTAAAGACTTCAGTTTTGCATCCCAAATATGTACGGGGTGACATTTTAACAGTCAATGAGTCAAAGAGTCAGAGGGCAGAGGGGAGCCAGCTGGTATAAAGGAGCAGCAACCGAGTGTGGACCAAATGCCATTTTTGTTAGACGTGTCTTGAAGGGATGGTCCCAAAATATACAAAATATACAATCTGTCCTAATCACCACCCCACTTGCTGGCACAGGCCATTTAATGGTCCTAAAGGCAGTCTTTGGAGTTGAAGCCAGTGCCAGCTAGCTACAAATGCGGGTAGATAAAGAGACCAATACCGGGTGTGTGAGTATGGGATGAAACGTAAGGAGTGTGAGCCCCTTGCAGTCAGCTTGCAGAGTAAATGTGAGGCCTCTGTTGATCCTGGATGTTCTAGGTCACACATCATGGTGGGCCTAGCCAAAGACAAACTTAGAAACGTGTCTCTCCTTTTAGACAGACCATGAGAAACCTTTCAACCCTTTCCTTCCATATCAACCCTTCATTCCCACAATGGCATTTTGAATTGTGTATTTTAACAAGTGGGGCAATGTGAGCTCGGTGGGTATGAGAGAGGAAGAGAGGATGATATTTTGTGAAGCCACTAGACCTGGGAGGCATCCTCAGTTTTCCCCACTCCTGGAAAGAGTGATATTTTTGGCTTTTTGTCAGGTCATAACCCAGAGTTAGATTAAATATGCAGCTGCCCTTTGAGACTAGCGACATCTATGCTGTAACTGGTTATAGGGTAGCAATGACACACAGCACAGTGGTTGATCACTAGAAGCTGAGGTCATCATGCCTCAAGGAGGATGAGAGAACTGTGATGTCCCATCTGACTGGCTGCTTCGAGAGCTGGACATCCAGGTGCCGAGAGAGTCCTGGAGAGGTTTAGTCCATGGAGAAAAGATAAAACATGTAAGCTTCCAAACAAGCTTTTCAAGTTTTCGTTAGCAAAAACAGAGAGATTAAAAAGAAAAAATCTAGCACTGGCAATAAGGTGAGGCTCAAGGGATATACTGTGATTTATCATCAAGGACTTTATTCTCTTGGCCACTTTGCAGTCATGCTAGAAGTTTCCAGAATCCCTAGTGCATATGGTGTGCAAGAGTCAAAAAAGGAAGAAAAGAAAACTCCTCCCTTGAGAGTGAAGTCTAGAGAAATGCAGGCCAGAAAGGTGTAAGGTGTTATTCCAGAGTCTGCCGCCGCTAAGGCCGTTGGTATCGACTCGAAAGATCTCAATAGTACTAAGAAGAACCAAAACCAATCAACAGTTCTGTGAGGAAGTCTGACGCACGGAATAGTAGGACTTTTCACACACAAAGGACAAATAAACCAAGAGTTAATTTTGGCTACCAAACTGCAATTTGGTTTTCTAGGTCATTTTCCCCCAACTATTTAAAAAGAAACATTAGTGCTACACATATGCAACTTTAAGACGTGGTATTCTCCTATCAAGTTGCACTGAGAAGCAAGTTAAATAAGCCCCTCGTACTGCCGTCCACCTGCAGAGACGTCACATCCATTTTCTTTGATTTCCATTGGCAACAGCGGGAAATAATTCCAATAGTGCTGAAGCAAGCAGCCAGTCTGCCTTGCTGAGTTCACCCGGTTTCCTTCTTCTTCGTCTTCTACCATCTGGCTAGGGCAAGGCATAAAGAATAGACGTATATATTTTAAATATAGTTGAGTGCATGACAGTGTGTATGTGTGTGGGTCTGTGTGAGTATGTGCGTGTGTGTGTGTGTGTGTGTACACAGAGGTTTAGAAGTGAGAACTTTCTTCTGCGAGGCAATGTGTCCTCGCCTGAAGTCCAGCCCCCTGCCTCTCGGCATTTCCTTCAGACATTGGCTGATGCCATGGCAACTCTGGCCTTTTGGTTTTTTAGATATGTCTCTTCATATGGAGAGCAAGATGGTCAGACCTGGAAAAACACCTAGGAAATATAAACAACAACGAGGATATTAGAGAGGGCCAAGGAAAGAACTTAACTTCCATCACCCCTTAGGAAATGATTAACCTTACCTCAAAGAGAGACAGTACACATGTACTGAGAAACAGGACAGGGGCTGGGAAGGGAAGCTCAGGGGTTCAAATCCCAGCTCTACCAACACCTGTGTGACTCTGACACATCAACCTCTCTGTGCCTTAATTCCTCCTCAGTAAAACAAGGATCATTATAGCACCTACTTCATAGGTTAGTTGTGAGGATTAAATTAGATTATCTATGGGAAGTGCTTAGAATATTGCCTGGAACACAGTAAGATGCAATGCATGTTAACTATAGTGATCATAATTGTAACGATTAAAGAAAAAATGAATGCGAAAGTACTTTGGAAACCATGCCCACATACTGTACATACTGTATGTACAGTAAAGAGTAATTCGCCTGTATTATCGAATGGTAGAATTCTGACATTTCAGCACTCAGATTTTCACCCTGAGCTTTATAATGAAAGCCCAGAAATCCTGCCTGTGACATCTACAGGCCTACACAGACTCCAAGTCAAGGAAAGGAATGGAGAAGGACATTCACATGTGTTGAGTAGGTTATGATATGCAGGCCCTGGGCTAGGGGTTTCCCCAATGTTACCCCCATAACATCCTCAGCAACCCTCCATGGTAACTAGTCTCACCCTTTGTGTATGTGAGGGGCGGTGGGGGGGGAAGGTAGGTAAGGAAACTGAGGCTGAGGTAGCATTATTGGCGAGTGGCAGACTTGGGATTAGAACCCAGGCAGATTTTCGAGCCCACTCTTTTGACCTGTTTCTCGGTCCCTGCAGTCTGTCACTGAGTGCCCTCTTCAGCGCCAGAGTGGATGGAGTGGTTGTCTTCACTCCTTTCTCTTTCCTCTGATACCAGCAGCTTGATGTTCTCTTGGGTACCAACTCATCTGCATACTCCTTTGTATGGGGCTGACATGTCTCCTAAGGCTGAAGTATGGCCATATTGATCTGCTAAGCGATAACCACGTGACCCACAAAGTCCACTGAGCAGCAGCCCTGGGACACCTGCTGAAGCTGCGTGAAAGGAGAAGTTCTCTTTCCACTAGGCTGCTAAGCTGCTAAGATATCAGCCTGGAGCTGCTGGGTTCCATGCTGCCATCGTGGGAAAGAGCCACCTTGAGAATGAAGTCAACAGAGAAAAAGGGGATCTGGTGTGAGAAGAGAGAGAAAGAGTCCCAAAGACAACACCTGAGAAGCTGGATCCAGCCAAGCCTAAAGACATAGCTAATTCTATTTTTCTTAGTGACCTGAGATGATAAATGTCCTATCTGAAAACTAGTGGTGTGGGTATGTCCATATCCCTATAGCCTACAGTCTAAGGTTCCAGGCTGGAATCCCAGTAGAGCTGGCACGTACAACAGCAGCTCATTCTCAGCTCTGGGTGTGGGCTGTCCCTCTGGAGCCTTCTCCTGAAACTGGCCACTTTCTCACCTATGAGAAAGTTCCCAGGGTCCCCTGAAGCCCAAGATAACCCCATAGTCCAAAACTCTTATTTGGATGTTAGCAAACTGCCCAGTTCAGGTTAGCACAGTTTCCTGTTCATTGCAGGATTTCCCTGTGTTTGTTCATTCTTAAAACAAACAAACAAAAAAATCCACCCTTTCCCCTGACCTCAACATTCTCCACACCCTCTGTTTGTGTCCATTCCTTAAATAGGTACATGTACAGGATAAAATGCCACAGAAATGAAGTGAAACAGGGCAGGGGTACAATGAAAAACACACAAGAACGGGAAAAGTACAGCGGAAAACAATCCAGTCCAATAACACGCTGAATAACAATTCCAATTACACCCACTTACTTCAGGCCCTGATTTGGTATGAGCAAGATATTTGGAAAATCTCTTAGAGTTACCTCTAAAAGGGGATTTGATTTGCTATAAAGCATTACTAAGTTTTCTTTACAAGCAAGTACTCGGATATCACTGGCACACAGAAGAAGCAATATAGCATGCAGGGAATTTAGCATTTAACTTGCATCACTCTGTCCTGTCCCGGGGGCACAGCTCATACTAGCCACTGTCCCTTCTCTTTCCCTCCCTCCTTGCTGCCTTCTTTCCTCCTCCTTTTTTTCTCTCTCTCCTTCCTTTATCCCAACAACCTAGAGAAAGGAGTTCCAAGTTGGCTTGTTCTCTTTGTAGGTATTTCTTTTTCAAAGTTATCCTTACAAGAACCCTACTTATCTCCACTACCAGATGAGATACTCATCAGAAAGGGGCCACACCAGGGTCTGAATGTAGTAGCCTGACTCCAGAGCCATGCTCTCAGCCACATCTACATTTTAGGCTGAGAAGAAAAAAGAGCTATCAATTTAAGGAGTTTGCGGCAGGCAGAATTATGGCCCCCCAAAATGTCTACATTGAATCCCCAGTAACTGTGACTAGGTTTGGTTACATGGCAAAGGGAAATTAAGATTGTGGATGGAATTAATTTACTAATTAGCTGACCTTAAAGTAGCGAGATTATCTTGGATTATCTGGGTGGGCAAAAACTATCACAAGGGGACTTAAAAATGGAAGAGGAAATTGAAAGAGAGCACCAGAGAGACGGCAGCACAAGAAAGGCTCAGCAGCTTTGAAGGTGGAGGAAGGGGCAGGAGCCAAGAAATGTGGGTGGCCTCTAGCAACTGGGAAAGGCGAGGAAGTAGATTCTCCAATAGAACTTCCAGAAGAGAAGGCAGCCCTGCTGACACCTTGATTTTAGCCCAGTGAGACCTGTGTTGGATTTCTAACCCACAAAACTGTAAGATAATGCATTTGTAAAGTAAATAAACATGAGACTCGATTTGTGGCAGTTGGTCATGGCAGCAACTAGAAAATTAATCCAGAGGTTCAGCTGGTCAGGCTTGAGCAGTAAGGACCTCTCAGCAAGCAACAAAGCAGGCACCGAGGATCCTGCCTGTCCCAAAGCGGAACACAGGGACTGGAGATGGTAAGAAGTCAAGAGAGGTCCTGGAATGGACGGAACCCCTTTCCTTGCCTCTCTATATCCTGGGAACTTTCAGGAAAATAGTATTCTTGATATAGAATTTTATTGGAAAGAACCATTCAGTATGCATGTGTTCAACTTTTATCCTGCCTCTACCAATTGCTGGCTATCTAACCTGGCCTTTTTCCTTCAAGTTCCTTCATTTAAAAAAAGTGAAAAAAACAAACCAAATCATTAACATAGTGTAAAATGTAACTGCACTCTGACTGAATCAAATAAGCATCACTATTTGTTCAAATTCTAAGAAATATAGGATGCTCAAAATTAGACCAGGCTCCTCACCAGTGAGGTTTTTATTTAAATTCAATACATCAGCAAGATAATTAGGCATGATTAATTTATATTTATTTATTAATTTGTACTTACTGAGTTCCACATAGGAACAATAAAAGGTAATAGATAATCTTGGCATCTAGAAATGCAGAATCAAATAATTTTAAGGGTAATATACCCCTAGAGGGTATTTATAACTATACAGCAGTCAGATGATCTTAAATAAGAAGGCCCTTAATGATTGAAATTTGTGTATCGTGGAGAACCAGTCAAACCCCACAGCCATTTCTCTTGCTTACAAAAAAGGCAGGCTAAAAGTCATGTGGGTATTACACCAGCAGCAATCCTCTAGGGGACCAAAGAGCTGTGATACTGGTTGGTATTTCCTACCACCTATAAGTGGGCTGACAAAGGATCAAAATGTTCCCTCTAAACTGCCCAAGATCGGGGATGTACTATACTGGTTGCAGTCTCCTTGGACTACAATGATGCTGAGTCTGTAGAGCGATGGCCTGTCTATTACTGCTAATGGTAGCAGAGCCCTGTTTACCACAATCAGCAGCCTCATGTTCTATGGGCTGAGAAACAACTCTTCCCTCTAGCAGCTGGTCACTCAGTGGACTGCACCGATCGGTCTGATGGGAAGAAAATGGCACAACCACCTCATTGCTTTCTCCCCAACACAAACCTGAAGCCAGAGATCCCAAAACTAGTGTCTGCAGGGGCCAGGAGATAAAGCAAATAAGTGCAGTGGGCCGAATGTGAGAAACACACAGCACTCGGACTGTCTCTTTCTCTTCTGATAAGGATGAACATAAAGCAATATTGCTCTTTTTCAGAGAGGAAACAACAGAACTAGTGAGACAATACTTGGCAACCAATGGCTTGCCTTCATGTTGGGGAGACCATAGGGAGTAGTGGGACCAGCGGAAAAGCAGTCATCACACGGCCGTCACAAATGGGCAGTGACTGCTACTCAGCTCCAGCCAGTCACAGCTACATGGGAATGTGAGCCCACTGTTGCCTGATCTGATTTTTCCAGACAAAGCCAGAAAAATAGACTTTTCTGTGTGACATTTAACAATTTTAAATGTTGGCCACAAAAAACCTCATGTATTTTTTAAACTACCCTACAGGCAAAATAAAAGCATAAGTTAGACTTGGTACTTGCTTAAAGGAAAGGAAGTCCAAACCCTACTTAGCTTCTAAATAGGGTAGTCTAATTGTTCAAATTTCAAGAGGCAAGAGGTAGTACACTCATATATACTGTGGTACCAATAGGATATAGCATCCTGCTAAGGGCCACAGAGGCCCTCTGTTTCTGAAGGTAAAAGTCTTCTAAGGAATGCCAATTGCCCAGTCACTCTAGACTTTCCTCAGCTTTGGGACCACTCCAATTCCGCAGGCCTCCTCCCAGACCTGTCTATTCTTAGCACAATCACTGCAATTGAAACGCAAGTGTCATGAGACACTGATGAGAGTCCAACCTCTCATTTCTGACGTTGTTGCAAATGCATTGTTGGCCTATGCCACAGGACTTTGATCTGCTCTCAATCTCCCCCAAACACCACGTCATAGAATTTATACCATCTACTCAGCAAATTTCTAGCTCAAGAAACCACAGGACATTTTTATGAAGAAAATTAAAGCAAAAGACTAACCAAATCACCCATCTTTGATACCTCCTTCACTGCAATAACCAATAGGTTTGGAATATTTCTCCACGTGAATCATACAAACAGCCATGTTGAATCCTAATACATTGACTGCTGGAAAGTTGTAAATTCCTCAACAAGTCAGTTGACTTGAAGAGAGGAATATTCACTCTAGAAATTTCCCCATAAGAAATCTTTGTCCACTCCCAAGGATTATGGCAGCCCATATGCTCACAATCTCTAAGTAACAGACTCAAAACCCCTCAGAGATGGTGACTTCTGTGTGGACCCACCACCATCATACTTAGACAACTCACAAAGAATTCCGCTTCGTCCCAGCTGGGCTAATGGAATGCTCTCCCCCCAAAGGACTGTGGGCAGAGCGTCACCATCTGTATGGTTTATTATTGGCTCCTTTATTAGCCAGGGTTGGAGGAGTGAACCAGGGAAACTTGAAACTTGAGGTGGGAGTTGAAGGAAGACATTAAAGAGAAACTCGACTGGAGCATACCCCACAGAAGAACAGCCGCTGATTCGCGTGAAATCAGGAGGAATAGTAATGGGATGTCAATTCAACAAGTTGTGTTCGCCGTAGCAGGACACAGTTCCAAGGCAACGGGACACAATAGCTGCATGAAGAGCACTTCCTCAGCCCTGGGGTGGGAGGTTATCTCTGGGCTCCAGGAGGCATGGGGCCTTTATTTAGTTCTTACAGAGTAAAGATAAGAGCAAAATAGCCTCTTCAGGAAGAAGGGGGGGAAAAGAGGAAAAAACATGATCGCTTCTTCATAAGCATCTGAAAGGAGCACCAAGCCAACTTGGCCACCCATGGGGGTTGGACACTCCTGCCCTGCTCTTCAAAGAAAACACACGCTACTACGGAGGAAGGGCTGGTGAGCGGAGGAACGTGGGGGCTGGGGAGGCAGGATGCAATCGCGTTTCCTCCCGAGGAGAGCCAGGCCTCTGCTGACATCCTACACACCCCTCCTGCTGTCCTCTGAGCTGCTGGCCAAGCCAGGGAACCCTGAGGCTTTCAGAGGCTTTTATCGTATTAGAAGCATTTTTCTCATCATAACCGAGACCTTTAGTATTGCATTAAAAAGATGGTTAATTTTCTTAAGCTTCCTTTTAAACACAGAAATAGGATTAGAAGGATAACACGCTCAGACGCAAGCCCATTATTTGATTATGTCTAAACCTAATCCTGCCTTCACCTTGGCCTGCAGAGTCTCCATTTTGGGGTTTATTGGTTGATAATGCCAAGGCTGTCAGATACTATTACTTGGGTAGTATCTGTTGCTACGTGATCTTTCTTCCACTACCAAATGCTGAAGGCTTGAAATTGAATTATAGGATAAATTCTCAAAGCTTCACATCTTTTGGACCCTTGTACCTATTTTCAAAAGAGAAAGAAGGGTCCAGGCCCTCAAAGAATGTGAACTCTCTTCCATAAAATTCATTTCCAATAATGCTTCAGAGAAAAGCCTTACAACTAGCCTATCTTCTGTTACGCTAGCTTTCTATTCTTTTATATTACTAAGGATGAGGGAAAGTGGTACTGATGTTAATAAAAAGATCAGAAGCAGCTACAGGTGACCATTCTCTCTCCTATTACTTTTCATATTATTACTTTTCAATTAATTTCATAAAATTATCTGTAGCATCATCTCCCCAAGGTAGAAACTATGTCATGTGATAGCCAGCGACTAACACGCGTCCTGGCCCAAAGCTATTGTTCAGTAAATGCTTGTGTGACTGAACCAAGAGTTCATGCCACCTGTTCATTATAGGCAAGAGGGCAACCCTATCTCATTCGTTCTCTCAATGGAGAAATAAAAAGGCATTCCCACACCCAACTACCTGTGAGACAGGCTTATGATAAATCCAAGAACACAGCCCACCCTCCAACCCACTTCACCATCTCCCCTCCCCAGCCCAGCAGCTTCTGAGTCTCTTTACCTGTCGCAGTGGTTGCATTTAAAGGGCTTTGCACCTGTGTGTTTCCTGTAGTGCCTCGTGAGCTCATCACTTCGTGCAAAACGCCACTCGCATCCTTCCCATGAACACTTATAAGGCTTCTCACCTGCAAGAAAAGATGAAAGGACCATGGTCAGCAACAGCACCCCATCAGGTTCTGCTGCCCACTGGTCATTCTTGGGAAAGGGCTACTTAAGTCATTCTTGAAAGACCAGATTTCCTAACACAGCACGCCACTTTTAAAAAAAAGTCTCCTGGTGTTGTTTTGTTTAACCTTCAAAAGTGTTTTCACAAGTTCCTCAAATCTGGAGCTGTCATTACAGCTCCCAGAGTTAGAGCATTTCCTTTGACTGGTGAGGGATCAATTTGTATTTATTTTCTATTCCCTGGAGTACTTTGACCCTCACAGTCCAAGTAGAAAGGAAATGTGCTATTTTCATCGTAATAACTTCGTATAGCATACATTATACGAAGTTATACGTCACTCCTTTCATGATGGTAAACTTGCCTGGGTTCCTAGCCACCTACTCCAAAATCAAACTTGTTAAACACAAAAAAGGGAGTAGAAAACATGAATTCCAGGAGTTGACATAAATCATAACCAACCCAACTCGATCCACCTGAGCCCAAGGCCTTGAACTGGTGAGTGTGGGAGGTGGTAAAGGGAGGTCCTTGGGTATCTTTAAAGTTCCTCTACGATTTTCCCTTCATTTGCTTTAGATAATCTTTGCTTTTCCTTTCACCATCAAAATCCTCACCAATACCCCAACTTTGGAGTCAGCACACTTGGGATCTTGCTGAGTAGGCCTCAGTGCCTTTATCTGTTAAATGGCGGTGAGCTTATTAATAATAAACCCACGTGTATTATGAGGTTTAAATAAGTTGTCATGCATAAGACATGTTTTTGTTCCTGGCACATGTAAATATTCAATTCATCTCAACTCCCTTTCCTCCCCTGTGTTTGCAGAGGCTGCTAGGGAGACAGGTCTAACTAGATGTCAATAAAAACTTTCAGAGCTCCTGGTTCCAGACGGTCAAGTCTGCAGTCACTCTGGGCAGCCTAAATATTGGAAAACAGAACGTCTTTTTAAGTTTTAAATATTTTTTCAGTATATTGATGGAGGATGGATCTGAAAACCCAAGTGTTCTTTAGGTCTACTCTGAATGAGTGGGATGCTGAAGGGGAAGTAAGAGACCCCAGTGCCCTCTTGGAGAGATATGTTGGCATCATTTACTTAATGCTACTAATCACCCACAAGGTTCTGTTATTTCAAGTGGAAATCTGGCACAAACAAACAAACAAAAAAGGGAATGAGATGCCCAAGACTTCAGAAATTCCAAATGCCCTCCACCACCAAAGGCCTTCAAATGTAAGTAAAACTGGAGGTTCCTGGCACCTTGGGACCAAACATATCCCAAACGCAACAAGGCACCCAGGAAATCCCATGAAATTCTACAGCAACCAGCAGAGACATCTAGTCCCCCCAATCAATCCCACAATCGAACCGACCCATCCATCATATGCAACCACATTCTGAAAGGCACAGAAAGGACAGAGAAAATAAAGGAGATGGAAATAGATGTCTTTGGGCATATATTTTTTTTTTTTTTTAATTTCAAACTGCTTGCTTTTCCCCTTGCTGAATTATTTTCACTAGCTTTTGCTTTGTTTTATCTTGACAAATAGTATCAACAAGGATTTGGTTATTTCCCAGAAAATGATATAGATGCTTAGTTAATTCCTGGCACAAACCAACTATCCTATCTAGGAGCTATTTTAGTGTCCTTTCGATAGCTGTGTCCACTAGACAGAAACTGCAGACAGCTTGACTTGGCTCTGAATCTCATCCCCTAACCCCGTTTCCTGCTTGCGGCAAGGTCCTATACAGAATAATACTGAGCACAGGCCCCTTTGTGCTTTCATATTTTAGCCAAGGTATAGTAGTAGTACCATAGTGATTTATCAAGGTGTTTTTCCCAGTATCTGATTAGTTTACATAAAAGTTGCCATTCCTGCAAATATTTACTAATAAGAGACTTTAAATAATCAAGAATGCCAGATGAAGAAGCAGTGCCTGAAACAGGCGGAGCTCAGAAGTCAGAGAAGAACAAATATAAAGAATTGGGAATATGACTTCATATTTAGGGCAGAAGAATAGTGGGGTTAGGCTGGCCTCATTTCCAGGTTCTATACCCACGTCCATAGACTGTGAGGCCGGTCAGTGAAGTTCTTCTGTTAGTATTTTCAGCATGGCCAAGTCTGCATCTCCCCAGATACCAGCACCCACGGCTTGATCTGGAGAGTGGACCCACCTTAGCCACAAGCATTAGTTTTCATCCTAACAGCCAACCTGAAGATTTCTGCTCATCTTCTAAAAAGCTTGGATTTCTTTCTTTATACAAGAAAAGAAGAAAGGCTTGCTTTCTTTTTGAAAGAGAGAGAAGAAAACGGCAGTTCAGTCACCACTGAAGCAGGTTCCATGCAACCTGAGCTGTTATCCCTCACGCCTCTCTTTCACCCTCCCTTATCTCCTTCCTCCGCTCCAGACGCTCCTCATGGGAACAAAACAGAAAATGCCACATCCCTGCACAACACTGTGGTGTATCGCCCTGGGAAGAAGGCCACCACTCAGCTCGTTGCACCTCAAGAGTCAGCAAAAATGCTCAGGCGAGGTCTCTTTGAGACAGGCAGATGGGAGAGGGACCTCCAACATCAAGACTCCAGTCCAGAAGGGCAGGTGAATGAGATACGTAGGTCACAAAGAGGTAGACCATGCAGCACGGCTGTGGCCGCACAGCTCGCAGTGCCAGAAGAGTGCACCCTTCAAATCCCCTGAATAATTTTTAGGGTGAATACCAAGAACTACTTTTCCTGTCTGGCAACAACCAGGAAATTTGTTTCCCTGGGGGAGTACATCCCACCTCAGAGGTGACAGTAGGTCTAATTGGGTGTAAATACATTTATAGCCAGATAAGAGCTCTTAAGGCAAGGCAAGGGTGCTTGAGAAACATGACTGACATTTAGTGAGGTTGAATCATGGCAAGAATTCATGTTCTCCCACAAAATGAATCTGAAATGGAATGTGGTCTAAACCAGTGTGACATTTAAAAATTTCTTACAGGGTAACTCTCCCTACATCATGATCATCAGATCTGATCAATCAAAAACACTATCACAAATACTTTTTGGGCATGCACACTGAATATTTGTAAATTTATTCATGAATTATATAAATGTACTAATACATTTGATGGAGCAATTAAAAAGAAGTTATACATTTTTCTTTTTATGCTACAAAAGATTATAAAGTAGAAGTTATGCATTTTTCTGCTTGCCCCCCAAAAGCCTGTGTTGCACAACCCTGCCTCCAACGCCACTGCCACCCCGGATAAATGACAACAGCTTTGCTACCAGCCCTATCTCACAAGTCTTGATGCTTCCGTTCTTGGCCTCTACAGTCTTCTCCCTACAGCAGTCAGAGCAATCCTCGGAAAAAGTAAATCAGAGCACGTGTGTTTCTTACAGGGGACCGTAATCTACATATTTCCACATAATTTGTTTCTTTGACATCTCCTGAGTTTTATTTTACACATTTTAAAACATTATTCTGCCAAAGGTTCCACGGGCTTCACCTGGATGCCAAAGACATTCATGACCCCCCAAAAAGTTAAGATGAAATTAAAGTGTAAATGCTCCAGTGGCCTCCCATCACTCTCAGAAGAAAAGTCAAAGGGCTGTCAGGCCCTCCAGTACAGGGTCTACGTGAGAGGGCTCCTGGCTACTTCCCAGTCTCATCTTCCACTCTCCCCGCCCCATTCACCACATCACTGCCTTAGCTCAGATGCTTCCACCTCAGGGCCTTGGTGCTTGCTATTCCCTCTGCCTGGAACACTCCTGCTCCTTCACTTCATTCAGCTCTCTGCCTAAATGTCTCCTCCTTGGAGAGACCTACCCTCACTGTCCTCTGTTACATATTAGAGTCTATCCCCTCCTCCATAGCACGTAATCACTGTGAAATTTGATTGCATACTGCTTGTGTGTATTCCAGTCTGCCTCCCTGACCACAGCGTAAGCCCCACACAGACATCCCTTGGTTCACTGTGATACCAAGAGCACTAAAGCAGTACCTGGCTCAATCCTATTGAATACATTGAATAAATTTAAAAAGCATCCTGATTTTGCAACAAAGACCTGACTGCATGCAGAGAGGCAGGAGAGCCTATTTGATTTCCAACCCCTTGCTTTCTATGTATTTAACTGACTTAAGAGTAGAAATACTTGCTTGGTTATTTAAACCTGACACCCTTCTTTGACAGGGACTAAAATGTGGTACCCTACAATACAGTATTACTTTACCATATAAATTTGCCTTTAAGATATAGATTGTAGCATCAAAGATCATTTCCATTTTTTCCCTATCTCTTGGAGCCTAAAAAAAAAAAGAAGGACCCTAAAAACCTTCCTATAACCTTCATCTCACACCTAGGAAGGACGTCAGCCTACTAAGCAACATTCCCTCTGGAAGCAAAGAGTGCCATTTTACAGAACTCATTTGTAAAAGTTCTCTCTGAAGATATATTTGAGAAAGCATAGTGATATGTCAAATGTACTATGGTATAAATTTGCTTTTAAGATATAGATTGTAACATGAAATCTTACACTCAAGGTTTAAAAGTCCCTTAAAAATAAACATCACTAATGCAAATTTTCTGCATGCAATTCCTGATCTGCAAAATTTCAAGTTCCTAATCTAAGTTCTAAAGAGAGGACTTTGACATACCCAGATTTCTGTTAAAACTAATTTTACCTGTGTCTTTTTATTTTTTACTGTGGTTACTAGTTTCTTTTTATTTTCTTTTTTAATGTGGTTACCAGACATCTGGGCATGTCAAAGTCCTAGTCTCTTTAGGACTTGGATTAAGAACTTGGAAATTCTGCAGACAAGGAAATGGAAAAGCAAACTACAAAGTAAGAAGAACACTTTGTAATGGGTTTATACCGCTGCTGAGTACATTAGAGGAAATCAGCTAAGACCCATCACTGATTTCACATCACACTCAGCAGCACTAGAGAATGTAAGAAGTAAGAAGAACACTTTGTAATGG